CGACTTGTTCTTGTATAAAAGGAAAAATGTGAGATTGATGGAGCAATGGTTGAAAAATTGAAAATGGTGATTTTGCAAAAGGAAAAAAAAAAAAGAACATATAAAAGTAATGATTCGATTTATAATAATAATCTGAAGAGGAAAGCATTAGCTGAAAACACATAAAACAACCTTATTAGTATTTTCAGGCAACCGTTTCAGCATTTTTAGGAGAGAACCGATTTTTTTTTTTTTTTTTTCAAGGGAGAGAATTTCACAATAATTATTGAACTTTAAAATAATACACACGACCGACTCCATACAGTTCATTATCTTTCGTTTGTCCTTGGTCCTAAAACTTTAGATCACTGAGAAGAGCTAAAGAAAGGGAAAGATAGCATACTTCATTACTGCTTGCAGCAACACCTGATCATGGTGCTGCTTCCAAAACCTTCCTCCTTTCAGTCTTGGGTGGCGGGATAAAATATCATCCGTGAAAAAGACTGAACCTTTTGATAAAGCCTCCAACTGCAACCAAACAATGTTCTGTCAAACAAAACTTAAATCTGACGAGAAACCTGGAACTCACACTAAACATTTGGCAACTATGAAACATGATATACTCTATGTAAATGATAGGATACAACAATTTATCTTAAATGTATGAGACACCTAAATGTTTGCGAAAACAAGAAAATACAAGAATCAAGTATAAAATTATCGATCAAAATTGAAGTTACTAAAGAAGTAAGAAGAATGGAATCATGTCAGTCCATATTCCATAATTTTCTCGTTGGCCCTCGGCAAAAGGAAAAAAAAAAAAAAAGGCAATTGTAAACCTACTAAAGAAGACTCGTGATAATCTGCTCAGTAAATATCTTACTAAAGAATCAACTAGGACTGACATGAATCCTATCAGCACTGAGCATTCACAAGTTCAAGCAGTTGATCAAAGTTTTTCAATCATATCAGACAAAACATAAGTCAAAACTAGAACTATTATAGGAACCCTGGAAACAGTCTCTTGATTAGCAAATCATAAGTGATGAAAATCGATTTTTTCTCAGTAACATAAAACCTTACTTTGTTCCTCATCACGGATAATGTTCCCAACCTGCAAATTACATCATCTACTCTTAGTCCTTCTTTGGGCACACCATCTGCAACCAACAAAAACTATGTAACGGTAACAAGGATCCAAATCAAGAAACTCACAGAAGAAATTAGTAAACAGAACAGGTAATTTGATTGCCTGCAAACATGAGTGAATCATTTTCTCCTTCGGCTAAGTGCCTCACGAAAAGCATCCCATACCTGCATAATAAAATCATATTACCTATGAGCACATAAACTACTAACTGCATAAAAAGCAGTCAATCTATTTTTGCCTGCTTAATGAAGCATTTCACGCCTGATTAAACTGAGCCAGTGTTATTAATGGCGGATGGCGGTACATGGCGTTTTGCCAAAATTCCGCCATTGCAGGCCGCCATGGCGGCCGCCGTGGCGGTCTATGGCGCCGCCATGAACGCCATCATTCACAAATTTTGCATAGCGGATTGTTAAAAATCCGCCACGCCATACCGCCATGGCGCCGCCATGGCCGCCATTTGATAACACTGAACTGAGCCTTCTCAATTTTGCAAATTACAACGGTCTATCAATACACAAATTAAAAAAAGAAACTTCAGTAAAATTTCCACAAATTAAATTTTCAAAAAATTAAGAAAAGAAAGAAAAGAAAAAACCAAACAGAAATTATAACGCTTGAAGAAACCAAGCATTTGGAGAGGCACAAAAAAATGCAAAGACGCACGGCACAAGTGTGAAAAATCCTTAACTCCAATTTGAAAAATAACAACAAAACTCCCGGGAATCAGTAACTTTGCTATCAAATATCTGCTATTTATTTAAAACTTTGTGCTTTCTCAGTAATCATGGTTCACATTTATATATCACTACAAAGAGTATATATATGTATCCATCTAAAACCAAAGTTGAAACATCACAATAACACACTCAAACCTAGGAAGTGGTTAAGATACATATAATCGGGTGGCTGGGGGTAGGCTAAGCAGCCATATGCCATTCTGGAGGTCAGATGAAACAATAACTGTGGTTAAGACCGAGAACAGACCCGTGGCTGACGGCCGGTCAACTGTGACCTTAATTATCGTGAACGCACGCCACACATGAGAATGTGTGGTTTCTAGATAGCAGTATCTTTGACATGTAAATATAAATTAATGAATAATGCAAGTTTAAGATTCCAGAATGTGTAGCAACTATAACCGAGATATTGATCATCTAGAATTTCTGAAAAATGAATATAGATTATCAGAATAGACCAGAAATCATTAACATACTCTTCAATTTCCTCCGGAGTCTTCTGCTTTAGGCGTTTCTCAAAGTCTTCCCAACCATTTGTCGTCGCTCCAAACCTATCAAAAAGTCCAAAATACTGCAATTACCCTCAAAGAAAGGATTATAATCTGCCCTTGTCTGGAGGTTAAAAACGAGCAAGAAGAAAGGAAACAAAATCTGAAATTAAATAAGACAACTTGGTCAGTTACAAAAATAATGAAATGAAAAACCTCATAATAATCTTATAGAACATAGCTCTCTGAGCATGATTAAACCCCAACACTCGCAAATGTTTCCCTTCACCCTCCATCAAAGGATGTTTTTCTAAAGCATCTGCTTGTAACCATCGAACAACAGGAAACAGTTAGATGGCATCATTACTTTCATCCTATAACTCATGAATAATAAACATTTCATTCATACCCTGAGTTCTTTTTCTGCGGGGTCTTCTGGTCGATGCAGCTCCAGTTGAAGCAACCTCGGTATCAGTTAACTCAGCTTCATAGTTATCATCTTCCCCATCTGTAGCCATATCTTCCAATTCAGCAAGATCATCTTCTTCGACAGACACCACCTGCATATCAACTTTATTCACCGAAGGAAGAAGTGCAAAAACAAAGGTAACATGCTTTGAATAATTGGAACACTGCCATTGACCAAAGTGCAGGGGAAAGTGGTTCTACTAAGCATATGATAGAGAATGTTCAAGTATTCAGCACGCAGAGAAATGACACCATAACTTGCATAAGAAACAAAGTATACCAAAACCAAACTTCAATCAAACAAACCCATGGTGAAGCCATTTCAGGCTTCTGCCAGTTCTCAGGAAAAATCAAGCATCACACAAGACGAGAGACAAAAAGCAAAGAGAACATGTCCATTTACAGTCCACTGCCTTCAGAATTGGCACTTCCATTCTAACAAAATATGCAACATCATAAATCTGGGTGCAGGTATAACTAGAAAAATCTACAGCAAGCAGTAGAAATGCTGCCATCAGTATCATTTTGGACAATTTTGAGGCGAATCCATTCTCAACTTCACTTCGAAAGAAAATAATAGCTCAGTAAACTCTCTAAGAGTTTATAGCTGACTGTCCCAAGCCAGTGTAAAGGAGAAGGGTTGCGTTATGTTGGCGACCAGCGTAAAACTTTGCCACTCATGACTATGAATAACATAAGAAATCGTGCAAATGTGATTTGATCAAGCACGATGGCGACATGTGATCCATATAGCCGACCCCACTTAGTGGGATTTTTAACGGCTTGTTGTTGTTGTATGAGCTTCGTCAACAATATTTGGAGTCAACAGCCAGTCTTACATTGCCAAGAACACACAAAAAAAAGCAAATGTATAGAATAAAAATCCACTTATGTAATATAGTCAGGCTGAGTTCCTCGACAAAACTCAGCAGGTCCTCACTTGCAAGTCTATTTAAATCCACAAACAGTCTCTTCATCACATCAATAACAAAAATTTTCTATGAACATTATACGCACTATAACGAAACCTTAATTAAGTAATATTCCACTTTAAATACCGGAAATATCCTGAACTCAAGCTAACTCAGTGACCTAATCCCCTCTTAATGTTTCCTTTTTTTTTTTCTCTTCTTATATTGTTTTATTTAGCAATTCTTTATCTTCTTCTACATCTCCTGTAGAAAGCATGGCCAATTGAGATACGACAGTTTTCTCTTCTCAAGGAAAATTGGTTTTAGTGAGCTGCAAATCTGATCAATCCGTATTCAACTGGCGCTCTAACAATGGGATACTTTTGTTGGTTGTTTTATTGATGACACTGTGATTACAGGGAATCACATTGGAATTGCAGAGTGAAAGACATTGAGTTAACTTCAAACTACAAAAACAATACCTTGTTTCTAACCACATTAAAGCTATGAATTGATTAACTATCATATTCTTGTCATAATAAGTATTTATGAACTAGTACGTTTCAGCCTCTGAGGCAACAACTTCAAACTACAAAAACAATACCTTGTTTCTAACCACATTAAAGCTATGAATTGATTAACTATCATATTCTTGTCATAATAAGTATTTATGAACTAGTCAAATCGATAAGAAACTTGAGTGAACTTCAGGAAACAACGTTATAAACACCCACAATATTTGTGAGCAATTGAGCATACCTGTTTGCGGCTTCTCTTTCCCTTGCCCATAGCACTAAATTCTTCAACCTTATGCACTTCGTACTTATCTCGTAATAGGTCTTCCCAGTAGCTTGCTCTTTCAGAATTGTTTACTGATGTTTTATTCTCTTCTTCTGTTACAGGTGTGCCCTCTGACAATCCTTCTTCCACATACTCAAAGTTAGCTACCTGAGGCATTTGATAAACATTAATTTCCTCTAGAATATGAGGAAGATAGGGGCATATGAATAAACAACAAAGACAGACATACAGAGACAGACAGACAGACAGACAGACAGGCAGAAACACATACAGAGAAAGACCGAGATTTTAAAACGTCATAAACATTGGAAGAAGCCACAAATTGACAAAAGTTAGAGTTATTATGCACAATAATCTCACCTAAGTATTTTGCATTATATCGTTAACAAAGTTGAAGTTCACTGAATGTCATTTAATACATATTTGCTATTCCATCTCTCATACAGACAACTTCCCATTATCAACAAAATAGATCCAACTATGTGCATTATCATTTTCAAATTTTTTTGGATAAATGCAACTCTGAACTATATGTGTTATGCAGACAATAATGTAACCTTCTCTCCAAAAAAATAAATGAAATGATACTTTCAAGAAACTAATTATTACAGAACAGCATTGAGCCTCCTGCCACACTAGGTGGTATTACACACATGAAACATTACTAAAAAACGTGGGTTGTGATTTACATTGAAAATTTGATTTGGAACAGACAAAAAAATTGACAGAAATTAATTTGAGTATTTAAAAGGGACGAAATAACTGAAATTGCCCTAATCCAATATTCATAAAAACATACTGAAAAATTCAGGTAAATTGTGAACCTTAAAAGCTTTCAAAAATTCATCCTCCTCTTCATCTTCCAATGAAGCGTCTTCATCTCCAATTTGTTCGCGATTAAGCAATCTACGTAATAAAATAATCAAAATTCACAACAACAAGACAAATAATCAAAATTCACAACAACAAGACAAACAATATCCAGTAGAAAAACATAAATTCATTTTTACCTATCAATTGCAGTATTGTCGTACTGAATTTGACGAGATTTTACCAATTCATTGTTGTCATCAGCAAACAGTTCCTGCGATCCATACCGTATGATATCATCTAGTTCTTCCTGCATCCAAATCAAAGTATCTCAATTCAGCAGGAGAAACTTCAAACAGAAAGTATACAGGTATTCACCTCTTTGCATACAACAGAGAATATAACAACAAATATCAGCTAAAGATACAACAAAGATATCAGTTGCAAGACCAGGGGATCACCACCTTGTGGCGGCGTGATATATCAGAATTTGTAACCCTAGAATGAACATGGAACCCTATCGGTTTTTATAGCTAATTACCAGGTGTTACGTCACATGCTATAATGGTTATTTACGAAATGCTGACATCTGGAACCAGTTGTTTCTATTAAATGCAATTTGCATTAGAAGATTTCCTAAATGTAAAATGGAGATTGCTTAAACAGTATGAATTTTTACATAAAAATAGAGATTTTCCGAGCAAATGACACATATAGACCACTAGAAACCAGCAGGGCAAAAATATAAGTAGGTGAATGAGATTCAGTCAATCAATCAACCAATCAACAAGCAGCCGTTAAAATCCCACTAAGTGGGGTTGTCGGCTATATGGATCACATGTCGCCATCGTGCTCGATCAAAACATATATCCTCATTCAAATTTAAAAATTTTAAGTCAGTTTTTATTGTCCCGTTCCAAGTTTTCTTAGGTCTACCCCTCTCCATTTTAATTTGCTTTCTTAATTGCGAAGGAAAAAAATCTTATCACAATCTAATACCGATAATGCTTATAAGCACAATTACCAGAATCTTATCACAATCTAATACCGATAATGCTTATAAGCACAATTACCAGAATCGTCCATGTCAATAACATTTGCTAGATATAGTTTTCCAAAATTATGAAACTGAATAATGTGTTCCTTGTTCTAATTTCACAGGACTTGATTGTTAGAACTACACGTCTATTTTTTATAGCCCATAAACCCATATTTTCAACAACAACCAGTAGTTCCATTAGTTCAAAACATGTGCAATTATTTTTACTTGTCACGCCCCCTATTCGAAGAGTTAATTTACCCAATTTCATGGTAAGTCAACATAGACTCACGATAAATAAGGGTATAGTATGAACCTCGGCACTTTATGAATTTTACAATGTAATTAAATATATTTTCTTAATGTCGGAAAATGAGAAAGGGGGCCATCAAGATGGATCCAAGGGAGTCAAAACTTATAGATAGTATTTTTCAAGAGTGCTGTTCTATTTTAGCTGAGAAATATTCCTCCTTTAGATATTTTTGGAGGTATAGATGTACAATACTTATTTGTTCATGAAACTTTAAAATTGGATGATTATTAGTGCTCGTTGTATCAATAACAAAGTATACCAAGTTAAATACTCTTCCACTTTTTTCCAACCTAATCATTTTAGTATAAAACTCAAGGCATTGCACATGACAAAAAAAAAAAAAAGTTTTGTATTTGGAAACAATTAATGGTTTTGAATTTAGAAAGGAGAAAACACAATGAATTGTGAATTGCAAATAAAATAAACCACATTCTATAATGGATTATATGCTTGTTTATGGATATCAAGAAATCAATGTCTCTCAATTACCATAAAAAGATTCTTAATATTAATTGACAAAAAGAAAATAAATAACTCACTAGGGTACTTTCGTTCAAGTTCGATCGCATTATTGGCATTTCTGTTGCATATTACTATAAAACGCTGATTTGTTCAAGAAAGGGGCAGGATAGAATAAACAAAATGACTCAATGGCAAGATTTACTTCCAATTACTTCAACTATCAGCTCTAATCCTTTTCTATGGCTATCATGCAACTGTTGGTGACACATACCACACACAATTTTGTCTTACCTGATTAATATTTTGTGTTTTGAGCTTCCCGACAACTAGATGCTCCAAAACCATTTTCTTTTTAGTCATCTGCATCATTCTTTCTTCAATAGTTCCTCGTGTTATGAGCCTGTAGATCATTACCTGCAAACAGAGAAAAGACAATCATAGCTAAGCAAACATTGAACATGATGAGGCTTCAACGACATGATCCATGACGAATTTAACCTTGTTGGTTTGACCAAGGCGATGAGCTCTTGCCATTGCCTGGAGATCTGCATGGGGGTTCCAGTCACTGCGAAATTTAGGATCACAATTACTGGATAATAATACCAATTCCAAAGTGGAAGAGTGAAGGAAACACGATTAATTGGAGAATATTTTGAGAGGTTGCAGATTTCCAGAAATATGAGAGGATATCAAAGATAGCAGTTGTGATAAACAGCAGTAGGAATCTACGGTAGCACGGACCTGAAAAACTACCACAATCTTGAATAATCATGCAAAACCATAATAACCGAGTGCATCCGCACTCTCTTTTTCAAGTGTACAAATATCCACACATAAACCAAATATCTTAAACCAATTTCATCAGTCAAATTACAGCACCTACAAGAGCCCAAATTTCAAACTATCCCTATCCAATTATAGACAAGAACTCTACAAACTATGGTAGTGTTCGAAGTATTTGCTACACCAATCATTCATATACTCTTAGGAAGATACTCATTCGGCAATACTCTCCAACCTTGGTTAGTTAAATAGTATCTTATAGCATGAAGCATTGAAGAAGTAATACCTGTACTTCACCAAAACAAAAGGGCATAGGTATAACATAGAATTAGGAGCTCTTGGTCTAGCTATAGAGTACTAAGTCCATGGGAACTAAGGAACAAAAATATAGCATCCACAATAATTCCAATAACAGCTCTAATTAGTTTTCTACATCCAAAAGATTAAATAACAAATGGTTAAAGCTTTGGCAGGGTCCAAATACATACCCTGGCAGAAGATCTATGCATACATCAACTATCAAATGCTTTTTGTGCCACGATGCTCAAATCATGCTACAATTTGAAGATAATGCAGTACTGAAATATAAGCATTAACCTGTCGTATATAATTACTGTGTCTGCAGTAGCGAGGTTTATTCCAATGCCTCCAGCTCTAGTGGATAGCAGAAAACAAAACCTTGATGAATTCTTGGCATTAAACCTGTCTATTCGAATTTGCCTTTCTGCTCCACTAACTTTTCCATCAATCCTTTCGTATTGCCATTTCTGAGAAAATATAGAAAAAATCTGTCCATTAAACAAGATACAGATATCCTCTTCTTTGTATAAAGGTAAATAAGATACATCGAGTCATAAATTCATACCCTATAATCACAGTAATCTTCTAATATGTCCAACATATGCTGAAATTGAGAATATAGTAGAACTCGGTGGCCCTGCTCTTTAAGTTTAACCATCATCTTGTCCAAAAGTTGTAACTTTCCCGAAGCTTCTATGAATTGCCTGCAATGCATCTCATTGTGAGCAGAACAAAGTCTGAACAGAAAAACTACATAATCAAACATCAAATAACAAGAAGGTTCAGTATCAACAAGAACAAGAGAAATGTACTCAACATATAAATAAATAAACAAACAAATAGAGGATATTCATTATTCTAGAAAACAATTCCATGACAGATACCAGTTCAGTTGCATTTTTAAACCATCAAGCTAACTATAAAAAATCAAAGGGAAATGCATATACTACTTGTTAAACTCATTAGGATCTTCTGGCTCAACTCCTTCCAACATAAAAGGATGACAGCAGAGCTTGCGGAGTTCCATGACCACATTAATAAGAGAAACCTAGCATTAAAAAGTTTTAGTGACTGTGTCCTCTCACAGAAAGTTGATTGAAACGAAATATAGTTTCACGAGAAACGGCATATATGTCAAGTGCCCACTCACCTGGGCGCCACCCTTGCTAGTTAGTATCTGATAATTACGAGTCAATATAGCTTTGTAATACTCTTTTTGCAAGCTGCTCAGTTCAACACGCAAAATTAGTTCTTTTTTAGGAGGTAATTCTTTCATGACATCTTTCTTCACCCCTGCAATTCAAAATGATAGACTGTTCACAGCAGTACAGCAACAACACTCATGTAACATATAGTAAGAAATATCTGATGGAGATAATAAAGCCTTAAACATCATAAACTCATCCAATGGTCTCCCGAAAATATAATCGATGACTGGTCTGGACACATGCGAATTTAGCCAATAAAAACAGAGACATCAGACAAATGGGAGAGACCGTGAATGTTATGTCTGTTTGCATGTGAAACTAGCTCAAAATTATCTGCAATCGAATCTCTGAGAGGAACATCAAATTAGGGTCTATAGATGTATCCACATATTAATTCTCAGTGCTACTTTTATCCTAAGGTGCTGTAAAATGTCTCTCAGAGCACATCATGCATCATTTCAACAAAATGATACTACTTCACAAGGAATAGCAACCGCATATAAGGCCGCCAGCAGCGTGCTCCTAACATCTTAGCAAGAAACCCTAAATAAAACAAAAATAGCACTCAATGAATCTCCAATTTCGGTTCATACTCCTCAGCAGATGAGGAGCCAAAATCTTATGAAGCCTCAAAATCTGTTCCTCTTGATTAATATCCTTGAACTCCTCCTGGAAATCTTCTAAACTTCCAAACTGAGAGAGAAAGAGAGATGGCATTGAAATTTTGTTTCTAGCCACATCATTTCACAAATGATAAAAATGATAGAGATACAAGTTACTAACCTTCCCAGCATCAAGAAAATGCATAAGCATGAAAAGTTCGTCCAAGTTGTTCTGCAAAGCAATAAAACCTTTTCATTTCCTCATATAATAATGGTTGGGTGCATAAACAACATTAGAGCTCCAGGGATACTATGACCAATCAACATACCTGAAGAGGAGTTCCAGTCAAGAGGACACGATGTCGGCTAAAGTACTGTTTCAAAGAAGAAAACAGCTTTGAATCTTTGTTTTTAAGACGATGGCCTTCATCGACAATCTACAGAGAGATGTTGGAATAAACTTAGGAGCAAATATGAATAGACACAAAAAACTGTCAGCACTGAGGAGTGAAAGTTCACCATGCACTCCCACTTTATGGGTTTCAATGATGATGAGTCCATGTTGATCATTTCATAAGATGTCAAAAGGACATCAAATTTTATCCTATCTTGTTTGCATTCACTGATTGTTTTGCCAGATTTCTGTTTCTTGCTCTTCTTGTGACTTTTGGGATAGAAAAATTCATAATCTCGGATGATCGCCCGTGCTTGAACAGTGCCAACATACATCACCTGTGGCAGTTGACTCTTTATCAAGTTGTGTTGCAGACTACAAGGTCGTCGAATCCAAATTAACATTAGGGGTAGTCAAAACCCAAACTTGACTGGAAACACCACGCATGCTTACAACATTCATTTGAGGAGCCCATGTGGAAAATTCACGTTCCCAGTTCCTCAATGTTGATAGAGGAGCTATTACAAGATGAGGATACAAACTGTCCTCAAAAAGAGATGCTAAAAAGGCAATGCTCTGTATTGTTTTGCCTGCACCCAGGAGAATTTATACAAAATAACAGTTGAATTCTGCTATATAAGGAAAAAGATGAGAAAGAGCACAAGTGAATTAAACCCAAACTGAGGCAAACAAAGCCTACCAAGACCCATCTCATCCGCAAGTATCACATGTGTCGGCTTGGACCAAGAAAAGCGTAAGAAGTTCAACCCTTCAAGCTGGTATGGATGCAATGAACCTTAATTTTGATCAGATATTAGAAGTGTAGGATAAGAGTGATTATGATAAATATCTACCAGACATAACACAGTCAAAGGGCATTGTGTACCTCCAGATAGAAACTCAGGGCTCTTTTCATATTGTTGAAATTCTTTCTGTTTTTTCTTTAAGTCAATGGAATCACGAAGATTGCTCTTTTGTTTCACTGCAGATACCTTGTCACCTTTAGACTGCATTTTGTTGAACTTTTCAATTTCTTTGTGGAACGATGCGATGCTAGATTCCAACTCCCAGGAGCATTCATCGTATGGAAGTTCATTCCATTTTACATAATATTCTCTTCCTTCATCAACTTCCCTGATATTCAGGACAGTTTTACAGCACATGACATTATAAAATGGAAGCATATAACTTGAACATTTACAACCAATTAAGAAGATACGTAGACCCTATCAAACTTGGAGAGAGTGATGCATGCAGATTTACCACTAGAACTTCCTTTGATGTCAAACATGCCACCAAACATATTTTACCAGAGGTTACCTTATAACCTGTCTGCCAGAATAAAGGCCTTGATTCAATTGCATGTTACCCCAGCTATGGGACCATGCTGGCCGAGGAAAGCAAAGATTCACTCAATAATCGGATGTTTAATAGCTAGTTGGAAGTACTGTGTACTACCCCTTTCCTTACAACGTATGATAATTTAATATGTTAAGCAAACGGATGTGTACTTGCTACTTAATAGTATCTTCCAAAGGACGCCCTTAACCAATATTAGTTGTGCCGGTAAGCAGTTAAGTTTTGAAAATACCGTCAGTGCCAGATTATTTTAGTTGACTGAAAGTCTGAAACTGTCAATAAAAGCCACCTCCCAAAAGAGATTCATATTCTAATAACTTCAGGATTGAAATTGTCAATACTTTGACGCTTCAAAACTTAAATTCAAGCAAAAAGGATTTTGAAACCTGCAAGCGATAATCCGGTCCACCGTCGTCCAATCTGGTCTGATAGCAACATAATCATCCTCACCGTTGACTGATGAAGAAGCTGGTCTGTGGAAGTTGTTCACTTTTGTTCTTAAACGGGGATTCGACTTGTATGCCTTGACAAATTCTGTCTCAGGTACCCTAAAACAGTATTTAGGAGAAGCTTCTTTCAACATATTAGTGACATCAGAGATCATTTCTTCAATGGTAATGTTTGTAACGTGACAGTTCTATATAAAAGAAAAAGGTAATACATTAATATAATGGCTTCCACTAAATAATAGACAGCTCAAAGCTGCTGGTGGTGAATATTTGGATATTGGTGATAATGTCACTAAGACTTGTCTTTTATTGGAAGCAAACTGTTTCTTCAAGGGGAAAAAAATGGAAGGATCAAGTGAAGAATCAAGAATCTACCATGAGCAGTGGAGGTAGGACAGTCCTTTCCACTTTAGTAAATAATGTTTCATGAGATTTAATTCCGGCGTAGTCGCATCACTATCATTTGCAGCACGTGGACGCATCTCACAGTCGAGAATCTTTTCAAGCTCATTGAGATGTCCAACCTGTAAAGACCAAGATGAGGAGACTAAAACCTTAATTTTCCATAATCTTTCACTAACTAAGAATATGGAGAGACGTACACATTCTGGACATTTCCAGCTGCTAGGAAAAGGACTTCTCAGAGGCGGCAGCAAACACTTAGGATGGTATGAATAAGTACATGTTTTGCAGCTCAAAAGATTGTCATCTTCTCCACAAGCTTGGCATGAACCTTCCTTCTGTTAAGCGTGTGATGAATTGATCAAAAAGAATGTCAAGCAGATTAAAACAACTATATAACTCGTTACATCCATAAGGTAGCAGGACGTGGATAATGTGAAGGATGCCGCCTTAGTGGATTTGAATATTAAAAGACATGGGAGGTCAAATAAATTGGAAATCCATTGTGCTTAGATACTAAAACCTAATTTCCAATTGTCCCACATATTGATAGCAAAAATGTACGTATCATTTGACATCACTTCTTATTTTCTTGGATTCATGAAAGAGTTACATAGTACCGTTTACTTATCATATTAAAATATGGTGCCCGCATAAAATCTGATTCTGAATGAAGTTGGTTTATTCCGTTTCTCTAGGTTACGTGTTAAATTGGACAAAAAAGATACATGAAAGTCTTGATTAAATGTCGCTTCCCTGTCATCAATGTGATAACCAAAAAAATGGATGAAAAAGGAAAACGTAGGTGATTCGCTATAACCTACGACCCGCTTTAAAGAAGCTTCCTGACCGCTTCTTAATACTAGACCTCCCGAAGGGGAAATAGTGACCTCTCAGCCAAAGCTTCCAAGTGAACGTGTCTAACATGGCAAGTACATTACACCAATATACATATGTGTATACAACCAAAACAAGTTACGCATTGTTGAAATATTTTGATACCCGGTGCTTCCACAAATTAGCCCAAAACAAGTCAAAGTAAATAATAGATAAACCATAAGAGCAACAACAAAAATAAACCAGCAGCCCAAACAACCATGCAAAAGATTAAAACAAGGCACAATAAAAATCTTACTAGTTGTGGAGAAAATAGACCAAAATAAACCACCAGAAACTCAAAAACACACCCTCTTTGAATCTTCGTAAAATATTCGGCTTCATAAAGTCGTAGAAGAAGGAAACAGAACACAAATCAACTTGTTAACAAACTTGTAAGCGCTAACATGCATAGCAGGTACGTATATATGTGTGCCCAGGCAGAAAATTGACAGTGAGAGGAGAGACAATGAGAGTCAAAAAAGGACTCGAAAGAGTAAATTCGCAGCAGGTAACAAAAACTGCCTCACGAATTACCACATCAGGCCGTTCAATTTTCTCGATTTTGTCCGTCCCAGATTCTTTCCTCGTGAAATCAAACTCATCGTCGGAATCATCTAGGTTGTACAGAGGCCTCCGATCTGATCGAACGCGAAGCCTCTCAACTAAACTTGCCATTTCCTACACAAACAGCACGCAGACAAAAACACATGTAAACTTAATTCAAGAAGAAGAAGAAACAAAATGCATAAAGATGCCGTTTTTATACAATTGGGATGAAATCTAGAAATGGGGGCTAAAGGGTTTCACGATTAAATGTCGACAAAGCATGCCATAAAAGATGGTAGCGTCAAGTTTACCTGGCAAAGCGAAAGCCGTCGGGGCTCTCAGTAAAACGGAAGGGGAAACAAAAAAAAAAACTAGAAAAAGATTACAAGGTGTGAAGGTGTACAGTTGAAATGAAGCAGATGTGATGAGACTGGAAAATTCAGACGGTGGAGAGAGAGAGAGAGAGAGAGAGAGAGAGAGAGGGGGTGGCTTTTTTAGTTTGTTGTGAAAAACGGCCACCTGCACTCTGCAATGACTGAAGAGAGACTGTGTGTGTGTGTGAGTGTGAAGTAGAGTCCGTATTTATAGTGAGGTGATTCATGGACCAAAATCACAAATAATGTTTTTCCTTTTTCCTATTTATGTGCTTATTTGAATCCTCAAGCCACAATTATTTTTCTCTAACCCAAAACATAAAGAATAATAGGGTTTATCACTTTCTTCCCTCAATAAAATTTGGTAGAGTGATTAATCTCTGCTTTTTTTTTCTTTTTTTTTTTGTACAATGGGAATGATACGGTTAACTTCTAAATTTGAAATTACTATTCCCCGAATCTTAAAATAATAATAAAAAAGTATATAGAGGGTTTTCTTTCTAAGTTGATTCGTTTTGAAACTCTTATAACCAAGATTGTTTGTTGATTTCTTTATATAATTTTGTTATGACAGTATGTTGCTCGGGATTCATACAATTTATTGATTTTCTTTCTTATGAAAAGAGAGAGAGAGAATGATACAACGAAAAGAACACGACTTTATATAATAGTTTCATAACCTAGATAATGATGGTTTTATTGATGTAATAGTTATTGTATATTGATGAATGTTCGATGAACTATTTACATTAATGAAGTCGAACTGTCGATCTACCATTGAATATCATGTCTTTCAAATAGCACAATAAGTTCACATTTTGTATATCATGGCAGTTTTTTCATGTACAAGAAACTCGTTAACGTATTTTTGTACTTGAAATAAGATAGATAAAATATTGTTTCTTGGCAATATAATTTAAGCTCCATTCATTGAGTTTTTCTTCAATGTTCATAATGAACATAAAACTAGAAGCACGAATTTTACGTGTGCGCGTTAAAAATAACATAATGTATGTTCATATATGCTTGAATGTCATGCAACTTCGAGCATACAGAGATAATAAATACCATAATCGCGAAGAATAGTGGACCATGCTTTATATATATATATATATATATATATATATATATATATATTACTGCTAGATTCCATTTCTTTTTAGATATATTCTTATACAAAATGTCGTATATATCTAATTCAGTCAGCCTTTTGTATAAAATTAAATTTGGTACGCCATGTCATATGTGAATCGCATTATTTTATTAGTCGTCATATGAATATTAGCCCAATTTTGTCACATTTTTTATTATGTTTAGTATAAAAAATGGCTAAATTTTAACTTGTTGGACCATCTCACAACATATATTGGTTTTATTAGTTACAAAAACGCTCTCATTCATCGTCCCCAAAATTCTCAAAAACCCTAGCCCTTTCAATTTCGCTGGTTGAATCTCCCTCGCCGGTCGCCCGGGTTCGTCGGTGGACGGCCTCCATCGCTCGTCCATGGCGGTGCAGCCCCCGTCTCGCTCGCTGTTGCTTGGCGTTGTTTCGTGCGTCGGTCATTGAAGACGCTTCTCCTCCCCTGGCGGTCGCCAGAGTCCATGCATAGTAGGCGATGATGGTCATAGTGCGAAGCTGGTTCATGGACCAGGCTGGGCTAGTCGATTTCGGTTTTGGCTGGGGCGCTGCTATTTCACCTTGCTCTCACTTCTTATTGACGGTCAGGACCGTGCTTTTTCGCTGGCGAAGCGGCGATTGGAAGGGGCCTCTCTCGGTTATTGGAGGTGTGCCCTTTTAGTTGCTGCTTTTGTCTCGGTTTTAATTTTTGTCCGTGACCGGAGGGACCTCTCAGTTCTTCTTTGGCGAGTTGGATTTGGAGGTTCTCGGTCGGGTGTCGTAGTTGCTGCTGGGGTCAGGGTGTTGCTTGTGGTTAGTGCTCGACTGCTTGATTGTGTTCAGTCGCTTCGGGCTGGGATGTGTAGTAGCTGTTCCAGGCAGGTTGACTCGGGGACACCGAGCCGTGTTGGCTTCTTCACGTAATTGGAGTGCGGGCCAGCTCTTCGGTTGGTCCTGGGGTGTGGGTAACCATCTTGCTAGACTTTTAGCAATGGCGGGGTGCTCTGGAGCTGTCTTTGGAGTTGGTTTGTCTGATGTAAATTTAGATGTATCTGGCGGGAGAGGATGTGTCCCGTTTATGTTTGTTTTGTTTTAGTTTTGGTTCATCTGTGTTTCTGTTGTTAGTGTTTTTTAGGATTGTGTTTTTGGTTTGGGCTGTTGGCCTCTGTGAACCCGAGTGTCACCTTATTATCCTGTTGCGATCCGACACTCGGGTATTACTCTGTTGGGGTCTTTTAATTGATTTTAGTTGTTTTAGTTGGTTAGTTTAGTTGCGAGCTTTATTCTAGCGTTGCTAGTCGGGACTCTAGGCAGTCTTCTAACATGTCCTCTCACTTTTTCAGTTGTTGGCTGATGTGTATTCAGACGTTGGCTGTTGTGTATCCGCACATTTGTGCATTTTGATTTATAATATAATTTGTCATTTTGAGAAAGAAAAAAAAAGCAGATACCATATGGTCGATTGTCGTATCGATCATAAATTGCTCTTATTAGTTATTGGTTGATAACAAATAGTTGATTGTAGCACCAAATATGAATTAGTCTTGTTAGTTATTAGCTGATAGCGGATAGTTGATTGCATTACTGAGTAGTTGATAGTTTATTGTATGTCTATTAGGGCATTCGCATCAACTACAAATCATTTAAACACCAACAATAATCTCTATAATCTACATCATTTCCATATTATCATTCTACAAAACATTTAGCCATTTAAACACGCCCCACATTTGTTGAATGGTGATGCTTGGTCCCACATTTTTTCCTCTTTCCTTTTATCCTATGTGTTCAACGAATTGAATGGTGTGTTGGGTCTAACACATTTTCTCCATTAAATGAATGTCGCACCAATTTGGATGATAACAGTTAGGGGTGGCATCAGTTTGGTTACCGAACTGACATGAGGATTACCCAATCCAATCGAATATTTCGATAACACCAAATACTAAAACCGAAACTGAATGGACTTGTCATCGGTAACCGATTTTATGATAACCGAAAAATCGATCGGTTTCGGTAATTTACCTAAATTACTGAATTGCATGTCCAATGTAGAAGCTAAAGCCTAAAATGTGGTGCATTTTTTTGTCGCACAAAATGCTTCATATTGTTTGTGGAGTTATATTAGAGCTTTCATTGGTCAAGTATAAAGGTAAAACGAATGTTTAAAAATAAATAAATAAATTAAAGAAGACCAATTCTTTTGAAGTTGCAATTTTTTGTTTTCTTCTAACCTATGGAGCTGAGTATGCTTCGAGACATTACACAAGTTGGCTCCCACCAAGCAGTGATTTCCAGTGTCCATTATTCATACCTTCAATGCACCTCACTAGACAACTCCTAAGATTTATAGCTCAGCAATATCTTCAAAATTTTCCCTTGGTCCCAAGCACGTATAATGGCTAATGGCTTCCTCAACTACTCCAATATGCATGACATAATTATTCATGAACAAAGAAACTAAAAAAGAAAAAAATATATAACTCCCAACCAATGAGTAGAATATATAACTCCCAATGAGTAGAACAAAGAAACTAAAAAAGAAAAAAAATATATAGCGGATATAGAGCAACTCTAGTGGCCTCATCTTATCATGAGAGCATGAGTAATCAATTGGTACACATACCTGAAGCTGGCCAACATAATGTCAATGATTTTCCAGAAGCTTCTCACTCTATTGCCAAGGACAAATCTGTGGCCTCTTTTTCCTCATCAACACATCAAATCCACAACTCTGAGAATGTCAAAGGAAACTACTTTGGCCATGGTTGAATCTTTGAAAGCTATGGATGTGAAGGAAGCAGCTTGTTCCAACATTCCTCAAGGGAAGTCTACAAATCCAGACCTCACAATGACTAATTCTTTAGGAGTCTCTATGACTTAGAAAAGGAGCAAAGGCAAAGATGGTAGATTGCAAAGAGAGCCAGACATCCCCATCATTATCTCTTCAACAACCAGTTATGGCAAAAGATCAAGAAAAAAGGGTGATGCCTTAGAGGAGAATCAGAATGAAGTTGATACAGTGCAGACTGATAAAAAGAAGCTGAAATTGAACACAGAGAAGGTGGAGGTTGCCAGCCTGGAATGGCACCACAGTGACCAATGTTAGCTGTGGTGTGGAATTGTAGAGGGCTGGGTGGGTCCTCTACAATTTCCCAAATCAAAGTTGAAAAAAACTCACCACCCCCATTTTATTTTTCTTTCTGAAACTAAAAAACAAAATGCTTTTGTTAAGTCTGTTAGTAGGAAGTTAGGTTATGATGGTAAGAGCATTGTGGTATATCCTAGAGGTCTTAGTGGGGGCTTGGTTTTGCTTTGGGATGCCATTGTTGATATTAAGCAAGTAATGTAAACATTTCTATATTGCTATTGAATTTCTTCTTCCTAATCATGTGTTACAATGGGGTGTTTTTGTTTACTTTAGTCCCTGTAATTTAACTAGAATGGCTCAATGGGAGGAATTTTTGTCTGATAAATCTTCTTGGGATAACTGTTGGTTTACTATTGGGGATTGGAATTCCATCTGTTCCAATGCTGACAAATCTGGGGGACTTCCAAGAAGCCCTAGTTGTATATGGCTTTAACTCTTTTATTAATAGTATGGAAATGGAGGAGGTTAGAATGGATGGCTACCCCTT